CTGGTGGTCACCCCTGATAAACTTATAGGTAGCCATCAAATCACCCCTGAGCCTGCGCTTTTCCAGGCTAAAGAGCCCCATGGCTCTCAGCCTGTCATTATAAGGTCTGTTTTCCTGACCTCTGATCATGTGTGTGGCTCTTCTCTGGACTCTCTCAAGCTTCTCCACATCCTTTTTGAATTGTGGACCCCAAAACTGGATGCAATACTCCAGCTGCGGCTTCACCAAAGCCAAGTACAGGGGGAGAAGGACATCCTGGGATTTGCTTGAGAAGCATCTATGGATGCAAGCCAGCATTTTGGCTGCTTTACTAGCCGCAGCATCACATTGCAGGCTCATGTTCATCTTGTGGTCAATGATAATCCCCAAGTCTCTTTCTTCCATAGTGCTAGCCAGCTTAGCACTGCCGAGCCTGTAAGGATACTGCAGGGTTTTCTTCCCAAGGTGGAGAACCTTGCATTTTTTTGGTGTTAAACACCATCAGGTTCTCATCTGCCCATTTGCTGAGCCTGTCCATGTCAGCCTGGATCACCCGCCTGTCTTCTGGCGTGGATGCTTTCCCCAGAGTTTGGTGTCATCAGTGAACTTGGCCAGTCTGCTCCTGACTCCAGTCTCCACATCATTAATGAAGATGTTGAACAATATGGGTCTGAGGACAGAGCCTTGGGGGACCCCACTGGTCACAGGACACCATGATGAGTGACTGCCATCAATTACTACCCTCTGGGTCCGACCACACAGCCAATTTCCCAGCTAGCGGATCATGGTGGAGCCAAGGCCACAATTGGCCAGTTTTGCCAAGAGGTGATCATGGGATACCAGATTTGAAGACTTTTTTGAAGTCGAGATATATGACATCAATTTCTTCTCCCTTGTCCAGGTGATAGGTCAACTGGTCGTAGAAGGAAATGAGATTGGTCAAGCAATACCTACCCGCAGCAAGCCCGTGCTGGCTATCCCTTAGGATGTTGGCGTCGGCAAGTCCATTAAGGATGGCCTCTTTAA